GGACTTTCAAGAATGACTTTCAAAATAGATTTCAGAGGAACATACTAGAAGGTGTCTCACACTGCTACTTGTTTCACTGTCCCTGTCTCTCCATCGATTTCCTGCATATAGGAAAACCCAGGGAAAGGAACTGCTTCTGGCTGTATGAAGTATCCAGACTGGGTGAAATACTTCATTTGTCTATATTGTGATTCAAATCCTTAAAATGGTTCAGAGGCTAATGCAAACTCCTCTAAAAGTTTATCTGCGTTTGGAGTTTCAGACTGGCCAGTCTCTCTTAAGAAGATGCCCCCGCCCCCAATTGTTTATTATCCCATAGAAACAGCACTTTGTAGGATTATGCAAGGCAGCTTACAGACTAAAGTTTCTGCAGATATGTTTTTCAAAGGTCGGGCTGCTTTATGCTTAGTTTAAATCTTGTCTCAGCTTTACGGTGGTAGCGTATCTTTAGTGACAAAAACTCCTTTAACGTTATGTTTATCTTTTGCTCACTGCAAATTTAGACTGAGCCATGCTTGAATATTGTGGAGAGAGGTATGCTTGTAAGTGTGCTGTCTCGCTACAATAACTGACATTAACAGGTGTTGTGCTAATATCAAATGTAATTACATAGACGTCCTATTCGACTTAATTGTTATCATTCTATTATAAATTCTATTATAAACCAATAAACTGTAATTATCAAAAATAACCCCATCACTTTTAAACTGTAAGAATTCACCTTTTACTTACCATGTTTTATTTCATGGAAGAGGAGAAGTCCAGTGATATATTATCAGGTTGATAAGATAAGATAAGATAAGATAAGATCTAGTTGAAAATGATGGTTTGTGAAGAAAGATGTGCCTTCTTCTGATGCTTGTCTTCAACCCAACCAATTGGGTAAAATTTAACCCAATATTTGATCAAAGCTACCGAATCTATGACCCAACAGAATTAGTCAAGCTGTAGAGTTAATTAAAGAACCCGGCACATCGCCAACCCAACTCCTGAGTCATGACTTTTTAACCGATATTTGGCCATACTAACCCAACCTACAACCCTTCGACTTCCCAGAAATTGAGTTGTGAAAATAACCCAGCATTTTTTAGCGTATATAGATAAACATGTAACAGAGTGACACACTCAAAGCATGCTATGTTGGAGTCATTTTCATTGGGCAAGGCCATTCAGAAGGACTGACTCATTCACACTTACCACTGACATTATGGCAATGCCATCCCACACACACCAAATGAATGTTTTTGTTATTATGGCATGCAAATGTGTCATGAATTGCACACTTTCAAGCACATTTCATCTTCTTATTTGAGCATCTTATTAAAAACTGCTACGGTGAAGCTGAGAGGAACAGTGGCTGTACAGGGTGGGTGTATCTTTTATGCTTTCTGTGTTCATACTCCACATGCCTGTTTTAATTTTTAACAAAATGTGAGGTTTTGATCACAGTCACCCCTACTGGGACCCAGTCTGCCAACTTCCTGCCTAATTAAGTGAAGCTCTGGGATCACTGTAATGAACGAACACAGTCACGTTTCCAGCATAGCTAGATAGATAGGTGGACAGAAACAGCCTTAAGCATAAACACTTCAGCCGTTCCCAGGGGAATGTTTTGGTAATGGTGGGCTGCCTGGGAAGGTAGGACATTTCTGAATACATCATGACAACACAGAGTGAAGCAAACATCCGGTGTAGCAGACAGCAAACACACTACGATGCTCAGGCTACTGATGTACTCTTATCACATTTCTCATTTCCTGCTCGGTTTCACCTGCCAACTAACCTAATTCCGCAGGGGAGGGGGGTCCCCCAAAGATGTACAGCCTAAACCTTAAGAATATCGCCCTTGAGTGACAGTACATGCGAAACGCATCACACCTCATACTGGTTTAAACATACAATTGGCATTATGGGAAAGCTCGCTTACCTGTCATAACTCCATCTACTGTAAGACATACTCCTGTTGCTGCTGACTCCCTCCATGGCAGGGATTGGACTGGATGGTGAGACGGCAAAAAATAAAAAAATAAATAATAAAAGAAAGGAAAAAAATCAAAGCGCAAACGCTGCCCTCCTCTTCGTTGCCACGGCAAAGACGAACTAATGGAATCGCCGTTTAGTGAATGAGCAGGATGGCTCCGCGCAGCCAGGCGCTATCCTATGGACTATACCACTACAGAGAGGGGAGCGAGCGCGAGCGCTGTCAGCTGCAGTGCACGCGCATCTACCAATTTCAGTCGTTTACGGCGCCGATTAGTTATACAGACTGACTGCGCCCTACATACACTTCACCCTAATTAACGAGTCCGCACCGATGTATGGCACTACGCTTTCTTTTGATTGCTGGCATGCAAGGACATGAACGCATAAGCATTTTTTTACTCATTTCCTGACAGCTGCACAGTAAAAGATACTTGTATGTATCAGCTCACTGCTGACTGATGCTTTTTTGTTTTAAATAAATGAATACCTGGTCACACACGTGGACATGCTCATTTGGCAAACTAATCCACGGAGTAAAGGTGCCAATTGGGGTGAAAGACAAGCAGGAAATCCTCTTGAGCTTCACCTGTAATAGCCTTCCATTTATGCCAACAAATAAAAATACAAACTCCTTCAAATTTCTCATTTTCTCGTATTTAATCTCAGGAGGAACGCGCCTGAGATTGCACTAATGAGCAACTTTCATTTTCCAGTTTCTGCTATTTTGCAGGCGCAAATATCACATATGCTCGAATTTTGACATTGCTGTTACTCTCTAGAACCTATTGCACAAATAGTGGCATAGTGTGTGTGATTATAAAATCAAAATATCATTAAATTATAGTAAACGAATGATGTAAATTCTTTCAGTTGACAAGGAATTATGCCAAGGAGCTGTTAAGATGTTTATGATAGCCCGTTATTTTTGCTAAAACTTATTAAGAGCTAAGTCCTTCCATCAATTTGTCATCGAGCTTTATGTCTCTGTATTATGTGCTCTCTATATAAACCCAGTGGTTCTCAAACAGTGTAGGCAGACCTCCCTTGGAGGCACAGAGCTACTATATGTAAGACTTTACTGATCCTATCTTACTGACCTTTATTTCAATAATTTACTTGGGTCATTTTTTTCTATCGGCAAAAAAAAAAACTGTGGGTTGGGTGGTGTTTTCTATCATCTGATGTAAGGTATGAGAGAAAAATGAGAACCATTGCCTTGACCATGTTCTGGTACATGTACTTAATAGCATTTCCCTTTAGTCAAACAGTTACCCTGTGGTTCAAATACATGCATGTAGCTGTTTATGGAGGTTTGCTTTTGCACAGTTGTGTGAATTTAACTGGGTTCGGGGAGCTTATTAAATCATTGTCAGTAACATGTTTTGGTCTCAAAGACTCAAAATGAGAAGAAAGTATGAAAAGGCGACTGATCTGTCTGAATCTGGCCTTTTTTGGTCTGTTTTAGGTCTAGACTACACGTTTATTTCAACACTTATAGAATAAACATGTGTATTATTATGTAAGGTGTCTGGAAATGTATATGCCTCGGTTAAAGCATGCCAAAATGAAGTCCCCTGCAGATTAAAGGACAGTAATGCAGATCTGCAGTAAATAGTGAATTTTCAGTTCAATCTCATTTTTTAAAGCTAAAAAAAGATTCTCTACCCCCTCAGGCTCAATGACAGACTTTATTTTAGCACCAAAAGCTAGACACAGGGCAAAGGACACTGATGTTGAAGAGAAAAAACAAACAGTATGATTGGGGTTCACACTAGGTTTTGCAATAAGATGGGAGATTTCAGCAATTATAATAATCATTTGTATAATTTAAAGCTCCTCTGTAAAGTTTCCCAAACTCTCCTCCACTTGAACCGGCATTATTATACTCTGTGCTGGTAATGAACACCTCATAATAAATATACTCTCCATAACTAAGCCACATAAGATTTTTTTGAAAAAGCAACTAAAGAAAAAAAGCAAAAAAACCCTTCCTGGTCACATGTTTGTGACAAATCCAATTTTGCAATTTTGGGCCAACAGTCATCTTCAGTTTAAAATAATTGAGAGAATTAAATATTCTTCTTTACATATATACACAGCTGTGCTGTGAACATGTATTCACTTATAAACATATAAAAATACTTGTCAACTAGTCTGATAAGAAAATAATGTATAAAAGTAGAGTAGAAACATTTAATCAAGTCCGTTACTTCAATCGTCTAATTTTTGTGGTTTATATTACAAGATGATGAGTGAAAAACAAACTGCAGTACTCTGTTTGAATGCCTGAACAGAAGTACACAAGTGGGAGGGGAAGGCAGAACATTATACTGGGTATGTGGCGATGGCTGCTCCACAGGTGGCAGGTCCGTTGAGTTCATGTCCCACTGGAGATGGGTTGTCTTATGATGTGCATCTCAAAGCTTCCATTTGTCCTAATTTTCCAACTGGCAGACCATCGGGATGGGGGGGGGGGGGGGGGGGGGAGGAAGCCGTGTTACAGAATAATTCAAAGACAAAGGGAACAAACACATTGCCACTGTGTTATTGGAATGGTGAAACAGTTATTTGATCTACATCATGGACTAAATGTTTGACAGAAAAGATGCTTTGCACTGGAATGATCTAGATTGAATGGAGCTCTGAAAGCTTGATTTGCAACAAAGGGATTTGCTAGCATTGCTCGTCAAAGGCTGAGTATAGAACGTAGTTTTCAGTGTTTTGAGCTGAAATCGGGTTAGTTTTCAAGGCTACACAAAGCGCTACCAGTTATTTTATTTCTACTGCTTCTTAGAAATGTGAAAAAAATATGTAGTATGTCCAATGCTGACCTAACCGCCACCTTCGAGGAAAGAAATTCAGACAGATTTGCTACTTTTTGACAAGTGTAGGATTTTTAACAATCCTTCAATCTGTAAGACTTAAAAAAAAAAATACAGTAGACACTTCATTTTTGACTAAAATGAAAGCAGAAACCACAAAAAAGATCAAGAATTCACTGCAAAATGCCAGAAACCTCTAATCTCATAATAGCTTTAAGGGCTATCATTATATTTATATACATACTTATATATTCAGTTCATATATGTAAAACCAAACTCAATCTCACACACTGTACTGTGGTGATTTAATAGGTCATTAGAAATACAAAATCACAACAAATGTCACATATGTACAGTAGCAGATTAGCACATGGGAGTAAAGGTGGATATGGCACAACATACACAAAGCTTCATAAGATAATCTCTCTGCTCTGGTCAGACACTGGAAACTAAAGAAAGTCATTAACATTCTGGATACATAGTTTTCATTCAATCTCGGTAGCAAGTACAAATGTCACTACAAGGCAAGAGAAGTCCTTCAGAGTACGAAACATTAATTTGTCAGGCTGATTTAGAAGGCAATGTTTAGTGTTGGGACTCTCGTGTGAATTAAGATTACTGCTGAAGGTAGAGTGGTGTTAAATTTTGGCATTGTCAGTTGTCCATAGCGATGTCCTGGGGACAGCAGTTCCTGGTCAAAGTATTTCAGAAAAGGCTGTCTGAAGTCATGCACGTGGAGAAGGCAGCGGTCAGTCATCCACTTAGGATGTGATGTCAGGCAGAGTGGGTGGGGTGGTAGAGTAGCTGCATGAGTTACAGTGATAAGGCCAACTCAGACAATCACACAGTGGCAGCCGCTCTTGTCTTTTTCTTTCCTTGTAGGTTCTGGCGACGGTGGACATTCCTGTTCTTGGAATTTCCTGGGAGTTGGAAGAGATAGAGCATAGCTATAAGGACCCAGTGTGTACTTTTCCCCCTGTAATTATGGCCAGAGATACTTAATCGGTCTTTAAACTATCATCTATAACATGTTATCCACCAAAAGCACCTTATATCCCTTTAAATCTCCTTCCTTTTAACTCAGGGCATTTTAATAATAATAATAATAATGGATTGGATTTATATAGCGCTTTTCAAGGCACCCAAAGCGCTTTACAATACCACTATTAATTCACTCTCGCATTCACACACTGGTGGAAGCAAGCTACGGTTGTAGCCACAGCTGCCCTGGGGCAGACTGACAGAAGCGAGGCTGCCATAACGCAGCCTCGATATATGAACGATATTTTCACACATATCGTTCATTTTTTCTGGTCCGAATCTGTTGATGAGTTTGTAAACTTGTAGCTTTTTCACATGATTCACTTTCTTTTTACACAGAGAAAAAAAACAAGCAAACCCAAGCACATCACTACAAACCACGTGAGAATGTTCAGTCCGCTTATTGTCCAGATGTGTTTGGGGTGGGAACATTAAAAGTAAATACAGGAAGAAGGTGCTGTGTTCTGAACTACTGGAGCATTTACGTTCATGTCACGGGTTGCTGGAAGTTGCTTGCTGTCACTTGGTTAAATTGAAAACCTCCTCAAGGGTGCTAACAGATTACCAGAGTCACCCACTGTTTCTAGTCAAGGAACCGGGCAGTTAGTTAGTTTGTAACTGATTTCACCTAGCGACAGCCAACAACCTCTAGCAACCACTTTCTAACTGGTTGTGGAATACATATGTGGACTGGTCTCTTGGCCTCTGTTACTGAGTACATATGGAAACTGTTTACATTAAATTTAAATTAACCTTGACTGTGACACTTCCATGACCACATACATTGAAATGTGACCTAATTAATAATTAATTTCTTCATCTTTACCACAATTATTGGTGAGCCAAAGTTTAAATTCCTTTGAGTTTTATCTAATATGATTTTTTCTTTTACACAGCCAGAGATTGTGTGCTTAGTTTTAGCACTCCTTGTCAATAAATGAAGGAAATACTGTCCTATTGCTCCCTGCAGAATGCAGATACAGTTGTTTTATGCTAAAGCCTTCTGGAATATTTTCTAGGACTTTATACTTGAGTGGTGGGGAATTTATATTTTAAAATTCAAAGAATATAGACAGAAACAAAGAAATGTAACTCATCTGTTACAGCAACTGTTGACATAGCTTGTCCCTGTTTTTATAGTAATTTGCTAGGCAGGAAACAAAAGAGCTTAAGAAAAAAAAATGTTGCTCCTGTAAACATTCACCCTGAGATCCTGCAGTGTGTTTAACAGGGCACTCTGAGGATTAGACATATTATTTTTAAGCAATATGTGCAACATGCCTCAACACTAAAGCTTCCACACTGTTTACAGATACAACACAAAAGACTGACATGTGGACGATATGTAAAACAACACACTTTTACAAAGCACCTACCTGATTACTCTAACCAGCTCGTGGAAAGCCTGGTCTACGTTCATTCGTATTTTAGCTGAAGCCTCCATGTATGTGACCTTTAATTGTCTGGCCAGCTGCTGGCCCTCTTCCTGGGTTACCTGAGGCAAAAAGAAAGATGGTAATGATGACGTGAACCTTCAATGTAAACTGAAGTCCAGGAAGGATCATGCTCTACAATCCATCAACACAATCACTGTGTTTATAAAAACAATGTTATTACTTACTGAAAAGCTACAAATGTCATAATATTGTAAAATATCAAATATGTCTGTCACATACTTGCCTTTATTCTATGAGTATAGTGTGCAACATCGACCAGTTCCTTTTGCTGCTCTATCTGTATTAATCAAAGTTGCATTCACAGAGGACAATACCTGCTTTAACCGTGACTCCCTTTGGAGTCAAAAAGGAGTCACAGGTCAGCGATCAAGATTCTTGATTTATATCAAGATTCAAGATTCTTTTTCACCATTAGGGGGCGGTGTGGATTTACCGAAGGGAGCGAGGCCTGACTGCACACCAGCGGCTGAAAATTCATCATTTCATCACACTCCTGTTTCCATCCATCCTCCCCTCGACACCAGCCTTTCTGCAGCTTCTTTTATTCTTTCACTCACATCCTGTTGTATCTCAGCAGCTACGCTGCAGCTGCTGCGCTACCACTTTCAAGTATGCAAATGCAAAATCCTCCCGACTGGTTCGTATTATCTCTTCAGCTGATCAAACCGGGTACATGTGAGCCTGTCAGTGCAATCTGTTGGACTTACTTGTCTCTGTAGTTCCAGATCTGCTTTGTTTCCTACAAGGATCATAGGGAATTCGTCTCTGTCTTTCACTCGGAGAATCTGTCTTTGGAATTTGTAGATTTCTTCAAAGCTGTAAATCATAGTATGTGGTGTTAGGTCGTGTTCCCTAAACAAACAGGTTGTGCAATATCTTCTCACATATCGATGAATGCATTCATCTAAAAATGTACATGAGACAGACTTCAAAGCAAAAGGAATGTAGCTACAAATGCCCACCATTACCACACCCACGCGAACAGAACGATCACCCAGAGATAAGGGTCATCGGCAGCGTGCATGAGACAGAAAGGCTAAAACATGTCAGAATATAAAAAATGTCGAATGCATTTATTTAAGGCTCTCTTCTGCATGCTGACTTGACTGCTGAGCCACTACAATAAAGATAGCATGTGAGGGCTACATTTTTATTTTCTGTTGGGTTGAAACTAGCCCTAGTTTCAACCCAACAGAAAATAAAAATGTTAAAAAAAATAAGTAAAAAAAAGGAGGTGGGGGGCCAGAATGGAACAGTGCACCCAGGGCGGCGTTCCAGCATCGGGCCCACAGACAGCTTGGTGAGCACATAGTAAATCTGGAAGGACTTCACTAATATAAATGGAGGAAGGAAAGGCTGTTTACAACATAAACATTGGGAGGAGGCTGTGGGGGCAAGGGGAATGCAGCTCACTGCACTGCTGGGCAGGGACGCAGGCATGAAGAAGATGAGTAGAAACACAGAGATCACAGCATAAACTCTATAAAGTTTCACATAAAACACTATTTTATGTGGCGTAAGCTGCGACACATACTGAGAGACATAGAGACATACAGAGACATACTGATGTATCTGCATATTTTTATTACTTTTTTGCTTCTATTCAATAGTATTAGTGAAGAGAGGAAGCCTAGATGCTGCTATATGGCGTCAGTTGGCTTTTACTGAAACTGGTGGAGCCTGCCGTTTCTGAGATTATCTACATAAACAGGAGGAACACCCTTTATTCTTTTTAGTTTCACTATTGCAGTAGCCTGTCTTCATTTTCAAAAGATGAATTTGCTTGGCGCTGGCTTAAAAGTGATTTATGACACTTGTTTTTACCAAGGTGACCAAATAAATCTGGCATCCTTTAAATGTTGTTTAAAATCAGAACCAATTAGAAAGTGTGGACTAAAGTTTAAATTAAAGGTCCGTGACAGTGTTACTTTGACTCAGGGTGCTATGCACCGGGGTTTAACAAGTTAAAGGACTCTCTGTGCCTCAGAGTGTTGTTAGTACATACATACGTGCATGTTTCTACTGTATACATGATGGAATTCAGCAGGGATTGCTACGGGATTCTTGTCAACTCCCTTAAGCGTCAACTTGTATAATGCTCTCTGAGCCCATGCGCTATTGTTTCAGCAGGCTTTAAATAGAAAGCTAAGGTGAAGTCAAGAGAACAGGATAAGGGGGTAAGTGCGAAGAACAAAAGAATATGACAACAAGAGCAACAACAAGGTCCGGAAGTAAGAGCAACAAGTGAGAGTATCGGTGCAAGATTTATGGTTTTACTTTAGAGTCGGAGATAGAGGAGGAGCAGCGCACAAGCGTATGTTACTGTAAACAGAAATGTGCAAGGCGTGTGTGCGTGTGTGTGTTTGCACATGATGAAAACTGTCACTTACCTTCCTCTGTCAGTGACTGAGAAGACGAGCAGGAAGCCCTCCCCTGTCCTCATGTATTGTTCTCTCATGGCTCCAAACTCTTCCTGTCCAGCCGTGTCGAGGACTAGAGAGCATGAACATGTGCGTTGACAAAAAAAAAAGTACACACACACACACACACACACACACACACACAGGGTAGCTCACAGCAAAATAAACTTCTGAAATCAGTTCCTCAAGTGCAATAGACTTCAGGACAAAGGAGCTACGTGTGCGTCTTTGTACTTGCGTATTTGCACTGGTCGTGTTTATTCAGCAAAGTGCACTTACTGTCGAGCCTGGCCGGCCTTTCGTCGATCACACACTGCTTGGTATAAGAGTCTTCAATTGTCGGGTCATAGTCAGTGACAAAGTACGACTGTAGGAGGCAAAGAAAACGACAATAAAGGTGGATAATATTTTCTTTCTGCCTACTTCTTGTAACAAATGAAATAATGAATTTGTGAATGCATCCGAGGCCTGGAACTGCGTCGGGTTAGACATATCAACATTACATCCAACCTACAGTGCATTTACTTTGTTTCTCCATCTTTGTAGATTTCACATTAAAAACAAACATAAAATGAAATGAAGTGACGTTATTAGATGTTTTTTTGTGTACGTCTTTATACAAAAATGTGTTTATATTTCAACACCATTCATAAAGCATGTCCACAGCACGTTTAAAAATATAAAGTCTGAGTTAACTTTTTACCCTTTTGTTCCCTCCACTGTGTGCTTAAACGCTGCTGAAAAACGACTGTGTGCATTGATCAGGCGGCTTCAAAACTGCCCCTTCTGTTTGTCCTTTTGTTTTAGGTTTAAACACACTACAGTTCCACTGACCTCTACCTTTACTAGCATGCTGCACGCAGGAGGTAAGCACACCTGCACGAAAAAAAAAGCCGCTTAGGCTCTGACAGCAGCCTGCTTTTCACGCTAATATCTCATTTACAAGATGTTTCCTCCGTTACCGCTGTAGGCTTTGATTCTTTCACTCCGAGGCCAAAATCTGGTCTCTTAGTAACCTCAGCTGGAAGGGTGGGGCCAGGGCGGTGTTGGAGGTGGGGTGAGGCGGGGGGGTCGTGCATTTTTTACATTTTTCCCATGTTTTGTTGTTCTCGCTCTCCTCTGGGACTAGTTAAGCGGTGACAGCTGAGGGGAGTGCTCGGGGAATGTCAAACCAACACCCTAAAACGCAGCGCGATCACGAGGACATAAAAATCCAGACAAGTTTCCCTGTCATTCTAACAATAGGCCAAATTAAACTTTTACAGTTGCAGTGGCGTTGTTTGTGCCTGAAACTGTATGTTATTTTATGACTCACACACAATCCCACTTATTTTGGGGTTAGCTGGCAGCTGAGGAGACAGAGAGCTCTTGCTCTATGTGCTGTCAGTAGCACATCTCTGAGTAATACGGAGGCGGTTAACGCAACGTAATTTTCATTTGAGAGGGACTGAAACATTTTAGTCAATAAATATTAAGTGATGGTGGCACTGAAACTGCAAAAGCACATCACCACTTAAAGCTACGAGAAGCTCATATATGCTATCAAAACTCTTTTTAGCCTGTTGGATCATTTCTGCAGCTCCATCGCGGATGATCCATGAATATTGTATCTTGGGATGCTCAAATATATTCATGGGATCAAAATGTTTATGCCTTTAAGTCTCTGGTTGATACTGCATATAATCAGATTTCGTGCCTTCTATAGAGCCTTTCTTAGTCCTTAGTCAAGCTCTGTTTCAGTTATAGGGTACTTTATTTTTGTATTTATATATTTTTTGTCTCTTGCAGCTTTTTGCACATGCAGGTAATTTCTCCATCGCACGCTCCTGTCGTTGTGTAGCGTGGAAGCAAGACTGGCCTGTGTCACATCCGTTCACCGCTGTTCAATAATTCATCAGTATTACTGTGCATCCTAGAACTCGCTGCACACTGCAAACCTGCACTGACAGTGTGCCTTCAGACGACGAGACAGACAGAAAGCGAGAGAGAGAGAGAGGGAGAGGAAGGGGGTTAAGAAAAAAACCCCAACAACAAAAAAAAAATGCTGCTTATGTTTCTTGTCCCTGCCCACCACCACCTCTAGCACTCTCCCAGCTGTAGCTTCAGCATGTGACCTCGGCCTCACGTCAATCTCTTATTCCTATTCTGTCAACCTCGGGCTACGATGAGCATCGCTCTGCCCTGGCTGCTCCTCCCTTCTCCCTCCTCTGCGCGAGCAGGCGATGGAGATGCTGCACTCCACTCTGGCCGATTGTCTCATTGCCATTTCCCGTGATAGATGAGGCTGTTTTGCAGTGCCAGCAGCACCAGAGCCAGCACTAACAGGGCTGTAGCCCAGCCTGGCTGGCTTTCAGCTCGGCCACAGCAAAGCGATGGGCTAGGTGAGAAAGTGCAACATGACAGGAGGGCTACCAATAACTATATGACATGTGCCAGCATGAATCATGGGTAGTAATATGGCCTATAAATCCTCATGCTGGTCCACAACTTCATCAGCTGAAACAGGCTCCTTATAACGAAATGAATCTGCTGCATGTCGAGTACGAGAACAGCTGCAGGTTTTGGGAAACAGTAGCTCCCAGACGCTCACCACACACCACAAAGGTAGTATCCTTAAGGTGCTGATCGCCTCTCGGCTCTCTTTTACTTTTGTGTTTTAGCTGTCATATTGTATTTCATCTAAAAATGTTAAACCTACAGCTATGAGCACAACGCACAATTAATAAATTAACTGATAAGCAAAATACTTTTTCAAGAATGTAGGCAGATTATGACTTGACTAGACAGAAATGAAAAGACTAGACGGATTCAGATGAGGTCAAAAGCTTTGACATTAAAGATTTTCTGCAGCAACATTGCAAACCTGAGATAAAATACAGTATACCAGCTTGTGTAATAAATCTTTAATAAACCAGAACAGGACGTGTGTGTTTGCAAGATATGTATTAGGGAAGATAAGGCTGCTGGAGGCGGGCTACAAGACCATCGACAAGAAACTTGGTGAGAAGGTGACAACTGTTGCTGTGATTATTCAGAAATGGAAGAAATATAAAAATTCCATCAACTGATCTTGCCTCATGGGGGGAGGATGATCATGAGAAAGCTGGTGGATCAGCCCATAACTGATACATGTGAGGAAGTGGTAATGATCTGAAAGCAGCTGGGACCACAATCCCAAAGAACACCATTCGTGATACACTACAGCGCAACGGATGGAAATCTTTCTGCACCAGCAGGATATTTAGTTTGCTAGTGACCCAAAGAAAACCATCCCAAAGTCAAGCACAGAGGTGGAAACATTATGTTTTGGACTGTTTTTCTTTCTTTTGCTAAAGATACAGGACGACTGCAGCGCACTGAGGGGCTAATGGACGAGGCCATGCCGTGTAAAATCCCCCCCCCCTCAGTCAGAACACTGAAGATGGACCATCACTGAGTCCTCCAGTATGACAATAACCCAAACCATACTGCCAAGGCAAAAAAAAGCAGCGGCTAAAGAATAAGCACACCAGGATTCATGGAGTAGCCTCGCCAGTCTTCAAAGATCTCAGTCTTTTAGACAATTTGTGGAAGGAACTGAAGCTTCGAGCTGAGAAGCAGCAGCCAAGAAACCTAAAGGAACCTACTCAGTTTCTAACTTCTATGTAATCCTGTCTTTTGGGGGTTTTTTCTCTTTAGGATTTTTGGTTTATATTCTGTCTCTCCCCACTACAATGACATAAAAATTAGAGACTGCTCATTTCTTCGTAAGTGAGTAAACAAACAAATTCAGCAGAAGAACAAATAATTATTTCTCACATTATTAGCAGCATGGTTTGGTTTCACCTCCACTCAGCAGCAGGACAAAATTTTGGTTTATTTGACACAACTTATCAAATAAAGGTGCTAAAGCTTAACAATATGAAAGAAAACCAGCACAACAGTGAGCACACAACAACACACTGTATGACGAAAAAATAAATCCAGTCTAGTTTAGCTGTCGGTGGTAAGGTGGGTCAAGCCACACTCAGCCCTGGTCAGCTCCACAGGAAGGAAACTCCACCTCTGCAGCACGGAGCTGGCCCGGTCGAGCCTTCGAGTGGTGGTGATGTCACAGATGACATCTTACCCTACCCCGCCTTTCCAGCAAAGTCTGATCCTGTGGCTCAGTCCTCCTCCAGCATTCTAGCTATACATCCCAGCCACACACACAAAGCACATGTACGCTCACACCAGGAAATCATTAAAGGCCACGAGTGGAGGCCCAGTTGATGAGGCTCAGCAGCAGTGCGGCTTTGTGTGCTGAGGCCGTTCTGTATCTAGATGATTGTGAAACAAAGACAGATTGTTTTCTGGGCTGAAACTAAGAAGCTGTCATATAAAGGAGAAAGTCAAGGAAAGGGTTAAAAAAAAATAGGCTACAACAAGGGATTGATTTCTGATCTGCTTATTTTATGATCAATTTCTTTTGTTTGGGTGCCGGTGATGAATGGTTTTCAATGTTCTTAAAATGCCTTTTTCTACCATTTCATATTATATTTTTTCAAAACAATACATAATGTATAAAAAATGTTCAAACAAAGCAGGAAGAAGAGAATCAACAGATTCTTAAAAAGAAGAGGGGTTTTTTTGTTGTTGTTTTTTGCATAATTGACAAAAAAGAGAGAAAAAGAATCCAAGTCTTTGCGCAAATTCCTGTAGATTAATTATCCTTTCAGAAATCCAAGAAATGCAAAAAAACAGAAAAACATGATGCACTGATTCATTTAGACGCACGTCTTCCCCCCCTCTTTGCTACACGAGCCACGCACAAAAAAAAGCGCTAATTCAGCGTGTAGGTGCTTTGTCGTCTAAGCCACTTCATTGCTCAACACAGGAATAAAACACCAAAGCACCTGGTGAAGTTTGTGCTCTGTAACAAGTGAAGAAATAAAGCAATTAATCCCGACTGTTACGACTGCTGGCTGCCAGCGACGCAAGAATGGGTGATATGTGTAGGCGTGTAATCAGCATAGTGCTTGCATTATGCACCCACTTCCTCCCCACACAAACAGCTATGCTAACACTAAATATAGACCCTTTTCCATCTCACTCAGTTATCCTGCTTGTTTGGTTGTTTGGTTAGAGACGCCAATTTGACTGTTACCATCATTATCTACGCGGAACATAAAACCACTGATTCAGCAGCAGCAGAGATGAAACTGAGATTTTCTTTTTACTACATAATAAAAAACTTCATTAAAAAACAAAAACAAAAAAAACACCCACCCAATGTAGGTTACATGGTGCACCCGCTCACAAGACTGTCATAATGAGAGGGAATGCTGAGTTAAAACAAATAGTCATCAACACAGTTGGGAGTTAATTACCTTCTGCATATGGCTTAAT